CTAAGTTTCCTCTCTCTGCCATTTTCCCTCAGGAAGAAAGTGTGTCAGCAGCTGGCCTGTTCCTTAAACTACTTTGGAGTTTCCTTAAACTACTTCCTGTCTTTTTGTCCATGGCAGGAAAGTGGTGTTTTGATGTTTCTCTGATCTCTGATTCAACTTTAGGTGGATTCCTGGACAGTTACAATGCCCAAATGTCTTGAAAATACAAAGGAGCATGTACCTCATGTGCACAAATGTATGAAATGTTTTGGCAACTTTGCATTGTTGTACATTGTAAATGTGAAATCTGCTCAAGTGCTTTGCATTGTTGGCACTAAAAGCTCAACTTAACTATCTAAAGGAATCAAATCAGTGGATTTGTACTTTTGGTTGTTAATTAACTTACTCATTTGCTGCCATAAAGTTCTGATGCTTTAAATGTTTTCACAACTGGACTAGCATGCCTCTTGCTTTCTTATTGTAGACAAGTGATCAGATTGTTTTCAGACAGTTACTCAACTTAAAAGGATATAGGCACTTTTTGTATATATTGAAATTTTTGGCCTTTCCTTTGTAAAATTTCTGCTCATGAGGAGGGTGGTGGCTGCATTCCTGTTCTGTTCTCTTGTATAGACATGTGAGTTTTGAGGAAAAAGAAATAGAATGTTGGGCTACAGGTCATCGTTTGCCTTGAGGCGATTGTCTGTCGTGTCCTTATCTTTTAAAAAACTCATATTTTTTTCTGTAGTGTTGAATGAAGTATATTCATTTCTCTTTTGCCCTGCATTTGGCCTGTAACTGACTTAATGAAATTTCACTAGAAATTAGAATTTTTCAGCTGTTGTATATTTAGCTCAGTTTTTCCAAATTAACGTTTTACTATAATAGCTAGTAGTACACACACAGCCATGTCACACAGGGTGCTGTCAGAGATCAGCAAACAAGACATTAGCAGGTCTGTTGATGTTTTTGTAAAAAATGCAGTGTATTTTGACATTTCAACATGCATTTATTATGCAGCATATTGCAAACATCAAAACTGTCTTCAAATCAAACAACCATGTGATACTGAAGTGAAAATTTTACCCTTGGTCATTCAGTTACACCACCGTGAATTAGGGTTGGGCAAAATCGTATTGTGTGCAGTTAATCGTTTGAAAAACTTTAATCGATTATTTTTTGGCACTTGACGATTAAAATAATTAATGCCAGCAGGCAGACTGACTGAAGATTTCGCTGCTCAGTCCGCCCGGTGCTTCTCTTTAAAAAAGTTCTGTAATTTATTTATCATAACTCCAGTTTTACTTGGTCTATCAACACAATTTAAAAATTGATATCAAGTCTGAAGATTGTAGTTTTGACACAATTTGGAACAATTTTTTACGGAGAGCAAATCTTTGTCACACGAGTGATTTAAATTGGTCATATAACAGGGGCATCAGGTGTCCAGGTACTCTAGGGGATTAATCGCCATTAGGGCTGTGTATTGACAAGAATTTGGCGATACGATGCATATCATGACAGAGGGGTCACGATACGATATATCCAGATATATTGCGATACTGTAAGCAAGGTGATATATTGTGATTTTTTTTGTCCAAAAATTCTATTAAATAAAAACCTCTTACTGGGGAAAAAAATGAAAAAACAAAATTAATTGTCTCAGAAAATTCTAATATTACATAGACATACTTTTGACGCATTTAGCTG